AGGCATAATATACTAAAAATTGGTACCATAATTTTAAATATGATTCTTTTTAACTTTTTAAGTAACTATGGACACAAAGCTTTGCACAATTGCAAAGTAAAATACACAATTTTGAAATAAAAATTCTAATTTATACTCTATGCGATATCATTCGACAATGTTGTCATATTCGTTATCATTATCATTAATTCTCTAATATTTAATATGATATGTGTGTGCTTTATTTATCTTTATCTTTATTTTATTTTATGATTGTTCGTGACTAAAACAGCCATATATATATTTATGCCATTCTGGATATACTTTTATACACAAAACGATATCGCCAGTTATAAAATTGCAAAATTTATGAATAATTTAAAGTTTATTTGATATTTCTTTACATTAAAGGATGCAGCTCCGATTATTTTGATTTTGACATATGTTACAGAGGTGAGGGTATACTGATCAATTTTCCTTATAAGTACATAGAGTATTAATTATAAAAATGTGTAATAATAAAGATTTAAAATAAATACATTTATTTTAAAATTAATACATTTGATTAGCTTATGTATTGCTTGATATAGCACTTACTAAATTACTATAGTTATTTTTTAATTTAGTTTGCCTTAAATGTGAGAGATTTTTTGCTTTAATTCTTAAATTAAAAAAAAAGGTATTAATTTTATAAAATTATATTTTAATGATAAAAACATTTTACTTTCTGAAAACTTTATAGTTCTATTATTTAGGCTTTCAACCAAGTTCTCGATCAGATATTCATTCAAAAGTTTGAAATATCAGGTATCAAAATTCAACTTCGTAGAAGGCGCTCTTAAAAATTTATTTGTGATATTTACTTACGCAGTATGGTTCATCTTGCAATTGTTTATGAGAAAAAAATATTTTAGTACAAAATACGAAATGAGACAAAGCATATAAGAAACCAAAATATTAACAAAATTTATGTTATATTATTTATATTGCACATTTTTTAATATCTAAATTTATTATAATAGCAGATATTTAGGTATTTCTATATTTTTTTATAGTATAATAATCATGTTTAATAATTATAGAAAAAATTCATATTGAACAACATTAGAGATAGATTATAGGTAAATAGATAGAGACAAAAATAAAATTAAGATTTTTTTTTAAATATTATTATTATAACAATTTTAATTATTTATTTGTCTAATTAAAAGATGTAATTTGCATTTATTTTTGCAGTTTTTTGTTATCCTTCGAGTGGCTTTGTAAAATTATAGAATTATTTTCTATTTTTATTAAACTAGCATTACAAACGTGCGATTCGCGATTCATTACTTAACATTTTTTACTTTGTATTTGTTATAACACACTCTATCAACTTTAATACACATAACTGTCAAGGTGCAAATTCATGAGACGCTCGTTTTAGCGTTAGAACAATGGCACACAGAAAAACTTAAGCAGTAAGACGTAAGCAGTAAACAAATCATGTTGGATTTTTGGTAGTCACGTGACTTCGACTTTGACACAAAAATAGAAGCTGGATTTTCTCAGCTTCAACGTTAAAGCTGTTGTTATATTCTAAACATTTTAGAAATAAATGATACAATTGACATTAATTAGTGTCACGATTTTAAATGTCATCTTTTTAACTTTTCAAAAGGCAATAGACATAACTTATTGCAAAGTTGCTATTGCAAGGTTGCTATGAAAAACACAACCTTGAAATAAAAATTCTATTTTTTTTTACGCGATATCCGATACCGTTATCACATTTATTTATTCTATAATATTGTTTTTTAATATGACTTGCATGTGCTTTATTTTTCTTATCTAGTTTATCTAGTTTAAAATTGTACGTGACGGAAATAGATATGTATAAACTCTATTTGTAACCGACATCGATGAAACAATATTAATTAATTTAACGATATCAATTGTAAAATTGGAATATTTATGTATAATTTTATTTGTTTGTATAGAATAATAAGAAGGTACTTTATTAATCAATATTTAAATTAATTTTAGTAATAATCTTAATGAGTGCTTGGAATGATACTTGCAATTTTAAAAAGGCATAAATAATTAAATATTTCTCTCTAAAACTTTATAATAATACGTTACACAAAAAAATTTGCCTTTTATCCTGATCCTTCATTTTCGCTCAAGATAAATGTTGGCAAACTTCGGAAGAGATAGAAAACACATGACAAGAAACATGATTGTCGATAAAACGGAAACAAAAAGGGAAACAGGCAAGAAGTAAAAAATAAAAAGCAGGAAGCAAAGAGCACATTATAGATCCAAAAAGGGAACTGGAAATCCTGGAAGTAGTAATTCACAAGTTCATACAAGAATTTTTTAATATACCATATGCCATAATATGCCATACTTATAAAATAAGAATAAAATGAAAATATGTATGCTAATATTTTTCTTTAAATATTTTTATATTACAAAAAAATGTCTCTTTTACGTATAATAATTTATTAAAATTGATTTTTAAATAATGAAATCGTATACGAGGGCAAGTAAATAAGTTCTTAGAAAATCTGTCAGAGAGCACTCGCAGTGTCATGTCACATTACTTTTTGACAAGTAGCATCGTTCAGCTGATTACTGTAAAATTTTGAGCGGAATTCATCGCGTGATTTCATTTCTGTAGATGATTAAAGCGAACAACCTTTGTATTTTTTGCAAAATGGAAAAAAAACGAGTTTTGTGCAGTGATCAAACATCTATATATGAAAGATTTAACGCCACGTTGAACATATTTTAACATATTAATTTTTTGATTTTTATTTTAATTTCGTACTTTCGCACAGAATAATAAAATTAATACAAAAAAATTATTTCCTTATACTGCACATGCATGTAATTGCATATTAAAGTCAATCTTTATAAGGTTAAAATAAATTCATCATTATATTTATAATCATTGGTTATTTTTATTTCTAGATATAATACATTAGAATAGAAAAATTACATTAGTATATTGACATTTTTCGTCCAATGTTGGAAAACCATTTTTAACAAGGAAAATTTGAAGAAAAATTTGATATTGAACAATATTAAAAACAATATTTCTTTTATATTACTAGCACTACAGGTGCGCGCTTCGTGCGCTATTTAACACTTCTTACTATAATTTACAATTACACATTAATCTCAATACACACAACTGTCAAAATGCAATGATAGCTGCTTACACAAAATAAGCGCAGCAAGACAACCAATCGTACTGCGGAAAAGTGACAACAATAAATTTCGAGAAATGCGAGTAATCGACTTTACATGCACTTTTTTTGGATAGGAATATTATTTTGGCAACTGTCTTTTAACTATTTTTACCAATAAGACATTACAGCTTTTTATTTGTTTTTCTATTTTCTTTTGTCTTACTACTTCTTAAATCTTTAATCTATCAATTGGATTTATTTTTTAACTTCATATATTTTCTCACCGATCCAATTTCCACTTGGACCATAATTACAAACTAGGTATATCGAAATCCAGTCATTTGATTCCTTATACGTTATTAGTCCGCAACCGACTTTTGTTGTTTCAGCCCAGACCATTTGAGTATAATGGCCTGTATTCGAATCAAATCTGCAAATAAATTATTTTATAAACACATTAAAAAATGTGTCATAAATCTACGAGTAGAGATATTTTAATTGAGACTCTTGTGATATATCATACTATTTTTAACACTATTTACACGCAATTATTTTTTACATTTATTTATAATGCATAAATATCTTTATATGTAAAAGTCTATTGCAATCTAAAGAATTAATTTATTAGTATATTTGTTAATATATATTTAAAATATCTATGTGTAATTAGAACATTCAATATTGGAATAATACTTACTCATATTTTTCAACCTTATTTTTGTCAAAGTCAGCTACTTCATCGTACCACATTTGAATCATACTATCTATAAAAGATGTGTCTTCGTCCGAAGAGTATCCCTTGGCTATGTTCTGACCAACTATAAATCTGTCTGCAATGGCATACATTGTTTGCTAACAAATGAATCAGCTACATATAGTTTACGATTATTAACATATGTATAAATTGGGACTTACCTACATCTCTGCATTTATCATGACTAAAATTGCATTGAATGGCCCATCTTTGTGCAATATCCTCTAATTCGTTATCCCAGATCTATAAAAGAATATATGCACATGTATGCAAATACACTGATCCAAAAAATTAGGGAATCACTTTTTCTCAGTAAATTTTTGCCCATTTTTAAACTTTAGTTATTCAGAGAATAATTTAAAAATAGATCAAAAAATGATTTTACAGGGCAAACTCTCTACTATAAGATACTTTTGTTCAATTTTTATTTACTTTAATAATCAAAGGCGTGATCAGTGATCAGCTTTGAATGAAGACATATTTGATACATCTAAAATTTTGAAATTTGTGGTCTTT